ATTCAAATAGCACTAAACAAGCTAACAAAAACAAAATGGGCTAACAAAAACGGCTTCCAGTTTTCTGAGGAAAAGACGGTTGCTGTAGCGTTCTCCCAGAAACGAGGCTTACAACCGGACCCCGTACTCAGAATAAATGAAACAGTATTGCCAATAAAACAAGAACAGAAGTTCCTAGGGGTCGTATTTGATGAGAAGCTCAATTTTCTTCCACACATTAATAATCTCAAAGTGCCCCGCAGGGGCGCCTGTGCGAGTAGGCGTTTGGTGTGTAGCGACACCACGGACCCGAGCTAACGGGGGAGTTTCTACTCCCTCCCACGCCTAGCCGTGCGTGGCTTTGCCATGTCCGGGGAAAAGGGGATCCTGGGGGTTGAGCCGAAGCTGGGTGATTGGACCTTTAAGGCCCCCCGGTAGAGGCAACACACCCCTTTGGCCCCGGCTTCACGTAGACGGCACCCCTGGGCTGATCCACCCAGGGGAAATCGGCAGTCGCCTTTTCCTATCTCTCTCTCCCTACATCTTCGTCTTTATCTCTTACTATTTATCTGTCCTGTCTTTTACTCTTTTCCGTTTACTTCCAAACTTCCTGGCGGTTAGGGTTAACCCTGTGCAAATAGCCTACCTTGGTCTAGGTGCATTGGGTTATAGTGGCGTTGTACGGCTGGCGTCTGCAGGTTTAGCATCCGCTAACTTGTAGCGTCCCCTCGTTGGGCTCCGTGGTGGGTGGCCGCCAATGCTGCTGAACAAAAATAAGACAGGCATGCATAGAGCATTCCCCCTACTGCCTGATCGTACCGGCTTAAAGCGGGTATGCACCGATGATACAAATTTTTTCAACCAACCAAAAGAAACATATCCTCATTTTCATGTTATCCACTGTGAAAAACTGAAAAGCAAGCCAGGACCGTCTCTCCTTTCCTAGTTGCTAGATGTCTTACCGAAACTCTTGGCACAGGATACAAGGTAACCAAAATGGCTAGCGGAGACCTTCTCCTCAAAATCCGTGACAAAGAACAATTTGAAAAGCTAGACCGTCTTTCAGATTTCAGTGGCATACCAATAACCATAACACCACATAGCAATGAACACAACTCGCGGAGTGATATCTGACATGGACTTACTTGACTTGACTGAGACTGAACTTTTGGAGGGGTGGAAGAGCCAAAATGTCACTAATCTACAGAGAATCATCATCAGAAGATATAATAAGGAAACACCGACAAAACACTTAATACTCACGTTTGCATCCAGTAAACTACCGAAATCTATTCAAACAGGGTACACGAAGACATCTATCAGGCCGTACATACCAAACCCTCGTCGTTGCTTCCAATGCCAGAGGTATGGCCATGGCTCTAAAACCTGTCGTGGTCGCCAGACTTGTGCACAATTTGGAGTCCTAGGCCACGTGTCTGAGAACTGCAAACAACCGCCACACTGTGTAAACTGCGAAGGAAACCATGCCGCATATTCACGCTCCTGCACATACTGGAAAAAAGAAAAAGAAATAATTATGTTGAAGGTAAAGGAGAACATTTCATTTAAGGAAGCACGACGAAGAGTAGCACCATTCTATGGACCTACATACGCTGATGCGGCGCGTCAGGGGGCACCGCCGCACTAGTCCTCGCCACTCCTTCGGCCCGCGCATACCGAGCCGGTGGTTGTGGCACCTGCCCCCAAGGCGGCTGTAGCCCAGGCTACACTGCCTACTCCCAAACAGAGACCGGAGACTCCAGGGTCCTCGAGTCTCAAGGCCTCCCCTCACCAGGCGAGGCCCGAAATTCGAACTAACAACCCGCACGTGCGGGCATCCAGGGCCTCCGAGGAGGCAATGGATACGTCGGTACCCTTGGTGCCGAAAGAGCGGCGTGGCTCCTTGTAGCGCGCCAAGAAAACAAAAAAGCAGATAACAGGGCCTGGTGACGGCCCTGTTAAGTGAACTCAAACTCCCTGTCTAAACAGCCACTCGCTTTTCGTACACACAGCACTATTTTACATTCACCATGAAAACTCAAATTATACAATGGAACGTCAGGGGCCTTCTCAGAAACCTTGACGACATCCAAGAACTCTTACATGAACACTCACCAAGTGCTGTGTGTACAAGAAACACACCTTAATTCAAAACACATAAATTTTTTTTGTAAATACGTTATTTTCCGAAAGGACCGTGTTGATGCCATGACATCATCCGGAGGTGTTGCCATCATAGTGAATCAAGGAATGGCATGCACACACTTACAACTCCAAACATCCCTTGAGGCAGTGGCTGTTCGAGCGGTTCTTTTTGATAAACTGATCACAATCTGCACCATTTACATTCCTCCTAGCTATCAGCGGCAAAAACGTGATTTACACTCTTTAATTGATGAACTTCCGGAGCCTTATGTTCTCCTTGGAGACTTTAATGCGCATAGCAGGCTATGGGGTGACTCTCGGTATGACGCGCGAGGTCGACTGATCGAACAGTTCCTTCTCTTGTCGAGCGCGTGTCTCCTAAATTGAAAAGAACCAACCTATTATAATCTCGCTAATAACACCTTCTCCTCCATAGACCTAAGCATAGTATCTCCATCTCTCCTGCCTCCTGCTCATCTACCGCTCTTTAGTACACAGCAAATTAGGCTACGGTAGTATAATCTACGGTTCAGCAAGTGACTCGTACCTTAAGCGCCTAGACCCTGTCCACAACAAAGGGTTACGCCTCGCAACAGGTGCCTACCGAACCTCACCTATTTCGTGCTTATACGCCGAAAGTAACGAGCCATCCTTGGAATATAGGAGAACGAAACTAATGCTCACGTATGTCCTTAGAGTTCGTTCTTCACCAGATCATATATGCCACAGTATTGTCACACGCTGTGACCCACGACAACACTACGCCAACAAACCAAACGTAATTAAGTCACTAATACTAAGATTTGAAGAAAAATTTCACGCCCTAAATGTTCCTAACGAAGCACTCTCCATCGCCAGAAGGCCACCCAGTTTGGCCCCATGGAATGATTTCTCCAAATTCTTGGATTTTTCACTCACGCATATTGTGTGAGTGAAAAAACAAAACACCCCACGTGAACATATACTACAAGAATTCCTTACATTACAACAAATGTATAACACTTACGAAGAATTTTATACTGATGGTTCGAAGACATCTGCTTATGTCGGAAGCAGCGTGGTACGAGCAACACACGAGCAAATAACTAGACTACCGCAGTTCGTATCCATCTACACCGCTGAGTGCTATCCATTATGGATGGCAGTACGATACATTATAAGCTCTAAACATAAAAAAGCTGTAATATTTACAGACTCGTTAAGCACGCTGAAAAGTCTCAATTATAAATCTCAGTATGAGCCATTCATAGGCGATATTTTAAACATGCTATCCCACACACCTGATGACCACACCATACGCCTCTGTTGGGTCTCGAGTCATGTCGGGATCCCAGGCAATGAAAGGGCAGACCAACTAGCTGCAACAGCAAAAGAGATGCGCGGGTCAAAAACCAACATACCTGCCAGAGATGGGATTCAAACTGTTCGCAAAGCCGCCACCTTTCACTGGCAGCAGGAATGGAAATCACAACAAAACAACAAACTTCACCTAATTACACCTGTTCTTGGTGAATGGAAGACCTGTCTTCATCAAGCACGTTTTATCGAAGTAGTTATATGTCGACTACGGATAGGTCATACGCACATCACACATAACTATCTATTGGCAGGCGAAGAAGCCCCAACATGCGATAAGTGTCAGGAGCAACTAACTGTAATGCACATTTTGATAGCTTGCCCACATATGGAAACATTAAGAGAAAAACATTTCCGTATGTTTTACAGGTTAAATATTCCCTTTCATCCAATGCTACTCTTGGGCGATGACGACCTAATACCCATAGCTGATGTGATCAGCTTTTTAAATGAAGCACAACTTCTGAACAAGGTCTAATTACACTAAATTATGCTACTTCTAGACATAGCAAAACTTGACTGATGTGACTCGTAGCACAGCCTCTTCGAAGAGGCATCTGCTGCAGCTGGAATTTACAATGAGGCACTTGCCTCCCGGCCCTTAGGTATAAGGACACGGGTATGGCATTAGTGCTATGTAAAAGCCGTTACGGTTTAACATAACCTCATGCACCAACCATACACATTGACCACCCCTATAATCTTAGAAGATATATATATTTCACGCATTTACGGAGCCAATCCTTTTAGGCCTTTATACAGCCACGCTTCACCGCTCATCATATCCCATATGTCATCGCCGTCAAGACATTTCAGAGTCATTGTCATAGCCCTGTCCGCTGTAAGTATTCTCACCATGAGTGTGGCGCAGCATAGCCTTAGTTGCTCTTGCGCCACAAAACCCAACATAACTAACTCAAACGCTTGTTACGGTTTTTGATACTGAATTAGGATTGTTGAGCATTTAAAGGTTATGACACTTTTTTTCAGTTTTTGTTTTACTGACTGGTCTCCTATGTCTGGTTCCTGTGTGTCTGTGCATGTATATCTATGTGTGCATAGCCTTCCTTCTAAATAAGCACTTGTAAATATGGTGCCACTATATTTGCTCACTTTTATTCTTCTGTTTCCTTTGGTTTTCAATTTTTTTATGCTACTAGATTGTGTTTGGCTAACATCAACTCAACTAAGAAGTTGTCCTGAAGTATTTTTTTTTTTATCGCCTGGTAGTGCTTGGCAGTACGTTGAGAGGCAATAGTCATTGCTCTTGACAGGCTCCTTTGTAAGCATGGTTTCCTTCTAGTTTTTAGATTATATGGCAACAATAGTAGTTCTGCTTGTTGTGAAAAGCAAGCTGTGGCCTATAAAATTAATGCTCAAATATACTTCATATAAAAAGCCATAGTGTTCTCTCTAAACCAAAATAATAAAGGCCTGTATGGAGCCAGTGAACTTCAAGTGCACGCTGGAAACTGCATTATGAGTTCAGAACGTAAACCAATCTTTGTTTATCATTGCAGTACTGGCTGGACAATGAGAAACCTATGTGCCGCCAAATGGGCCTTTCTATGGTGTCACCTGTCATGTACTTTGCTGTCAAGTTTTATACACCTGATCCATGTCAACTTGAAGAGGAGTTTACAAGGTGAGGTTTTATAGAGCTCATTAATTAATGTACCCATCGATTTATATTGTGAGGTCTCTCATACTCAAGGAACAAAGGACATAATAAGCTGTACTACGAACCAACAAAAATATGAGAGAAAGAAAAATTGTTTGAGGGGCTCACTTTCTAACTAAAGAAACCATTTTTCGTCCACCTCAGTGCCTTTTGATTTTAGTGAGGATCATTATACTACAGCTAAGAAACTATAAATGATATTTTACTTGGCTTAGTTGTCTGTTGATTTCCTTAGTTATATGGATAATGCTCAACTGTCCATGGCAAGATAATGAGCGTGTAAAGTTTGCCCCTGCCAGAAACCCGAGCCTACGTTGCTTACAAGTTGGCTCCTACAAATGGAGGCTCATTGAGGGCACAAGAAACGAGTCTACAAGACAGTCCAAATGCGGTCCTCCATTGTGCAACTGTTGGCTACATGTATCGAGTTTAAGGCTCAAGAGAGCAAGTGTAATTCATGACCCTGCATACAGCTGGGTTTCTGCAAGCAATGAATCTTTTCATGAGAACCTGTGGAAGCATTGGAATGCCTGATGAGCGTACTGGTAAGGCCTCAAGAGCTATTTTCGGCATGGCAGTAGCAACATGACTGAGCCAAGTAAACAGGTGTGAATTCGTTTTTTTTTTTTTTTTTTCGGGGGGGGGGGGGGATTTTGAAGACCCTAGAAAGCTTAAAAAATGAAAATTGTCTGTATTCATTGTTTTAACCATAGCGTAGCAGCTACAATTAGTGTTGTGTGATATTATTTATACTAGCATATATTTTTCTAATAGTGTTCTATTTTATTCAATTCACACTGCAGTTTAACTACAGAAAAAGTTGACGTTTCAGAAAATCAGTATACACTTAAACCTCATTATAACAAACTTGCATCCTACAAGAAAATTTTTTATATCCGAAAATTCATTATAAATGTTATTTTTAACACTGTGTCTACTGTAAGACTATTTTTCATTTGCATCATTATAACTGATATTTGGTTATATCCATCTTTGTTATATTCAAGTTTGAGTGTAGTGGTTTCATTCACTGCAAAATCAAGTCCCAGCACTTCTAAATGATGCGCATGAATCCAGTTCCTCTTGCGAACTTCAACTTGTCAGTAAGGTTAACAGTCGTCACTGCACTCTGACACTATTTTAGAAAGGGTAGTTAAACCAGTGCGCTCAGGATAGAACGCTTGCAGTGTAAAAGTGTAAAGTGTGGCGTCTGCTTATACCTCACTTACGTTGATGGTAAATGCAAGAAAAAAAGAAGAAACTTTCGTAGAAAAAAAGAAGAAACTCAATGCACTGTCATAGAAAGTGAAATTTATTCTCTTGAAAGTTCGTTCAGTGATCCAGTTTTGCTCACTTCGAGGTCACTTGTAGAGACATCTCAATAGCGTGCTTATTCAAAGGCGTTTACCTTGACAAACTGGGTCTGCACGGAGCTCCTTAAGAATGGCTGGCCGCTCATTGTCAACCCCGTAGGACCTAGTAGATGCTGTCAAGATGTATAGCATCATGGTGACTGTTGTGAAAACGTTGAGGATGCATTATAAGCTGCGTTTTCTTTTCGCAAAATATAAATTCTTGCTTACCAAGCATCTTCTCACTGCAAGCATGGTGATATTTAAATTGTGAAAAGGTAATTTTGTAACACAAGAAAAATAATAATTCTCTCTAGTGTCCTGTTAACATTATTCACATTCTCTCAGTGTACATATGCACTAAAGTGCACTGCTCGCACGTTCCTATGTAGTACAACTGTTAGCTGCTGGTTTATCGAGCAGCATATAAAACGACACTGCTAAAGAACATCTTCGGTTGTTAGCTAAAAAGCATTGGCCATGAGCAAAAATTTTAGGTAAATGCAATAAAGATAGGAGCCAGAGGGTGTTTTCACTTTGGCCTTCTTTGCAGCACAGTGACCAAGAAACAAAGGCATGCTTGTTATGGGGTCAATTGTGTGTGCTTGTGCGTGTAGGTATTGCTGTCATATTCAACACTTAAAGGCAAAGTTTGAGTCCCCAAATATATATATTTGTTTTGTGGACAGGTACCTGTTCAGCCTGCAGATCAAAAGAGACTTGTCGCAGGGTCTGCTCCAATGCAGTGACCCTACTGCTGCACTGTTGGCTTCCTACATTGTCCAAGGTAGGCACCAGTCCTTTTCACATTTTTAGTCTACCTGCCTCAAAGCTCCTATCTGCAGGAGAACCAAACCTGTATGAGTGACTCATATTTTCTCTTGAACTGTTGCAAAAGCAAAAGCTTTTATAATGATAACATGTCACATTTGCACAGTATTGCAGTATGAAGCTGTTATATAATTTTTTATATAAAAGTTTATAATGGCTGCATTTTACTGGTACTTACCTACAACGTAGAAACCTAGTAGTCAAGGGTTCAACTTTAATTCAGGTTGAAACGACAAGCCATGGAAGCAATACCAATAACTGTAACCTCAAGGAAAGAGAAAAGAGCAGAGTCGGTCAGGGAACAAACGCGTGCTAAGGACACCTTAGTCGAAATGAAGATGAAGAAACAGTCTTGGGCAGGGCATGTTGGCAAGAAGGTAAGATAACCACTGATCGTTAAGGGTAACAGTCATGAATACCTTTCAGTATTCAATATTGCTGTTTTTGTATTTCATAATATAGTTTTTTCCTGCTCACCTAAACATTTTGCATAACTTAATTTCCTGTGCCGAACACTGTTCACGAAATTTTGGGTTTCTCATGCAGAATTTTAAGGAGGTCTCATTCACAGTCTCTTGAATTCGAGACCTCATTCTGTATATATAAACAGGGTCTGAAATTAATAAGAATAATTTATACAATCGGTACAAATTTTTTACATTCTTTAAAATAGTTTTCTTAGGCGTCAATGCGTTGATTACAATGGGACTTCCATGCAGCAAAGGCTCCCTGAAGGTCAGCTGTTGTAACTACTTTCAGAGGCGCCGTGATAATCCATTGGATGGCTGGAACACTGTCGGAGCGGTGACCTTTCAGAGTCTTGAGATTTGGGAACTGAAGAAGTCAGCCAGGATTGTATCAGGGCTTTATCAGTACTGCACCAGGACCGCACCTGGACTGCCCCAGCACTGATGTGAACCTAGTGTAACTCTAGTTTCTGGTGTGATTGTGGAGGTTCTCCAGCCTGATAGCAATCACGCAACTTTCAGTACGATGCAGTTGCAAAATACTCCATATTGACATTTCTGTGAAGAATGGAAAGAAGTTGCAATGAGTTAATGCTTTTCAGCGTCCAACAGGAAGTTAGAAACTGGAACCTTAGTAACTGAACATATTTTTACATATTGGTGCCCTGTGTAGCTGTAGGACCACCGTGTGCTTCAATTTCTAACAGCAAACTGACCAGGCATTATGCATATGCAGCCTCGTGTGGGGACTACGTGGCAGAAGACTACCCCGATGCCTCGTACCTGTCGAGCTACAAATTTGTGCCCCACCAAGACGCTGCACTCGAGGCACGCATCATGGAGTGCCATCAGCGACATGTGGGCCAGTCACCGGCCCAGGCAGACCTCAATCTGCTGGAGACTGCACGCCGCTGCGAGCTGTATGGTGTGCGACTGAGTCCCGCCCGGGACTCCGACGGCCTCACCCTCAACCTGGCAGTGGCCCACATGGGTGTCATGGTGTTCCAGGGCACCACACGCATCAACACCTTCTCCTGGGCCAAGATCCGTAAGCTGAGCTTCAAGCGCAAGCGCTTCCTCATCAAGCTCCACCCAGAGGGATACGTGAGTTGACCTTCTAGGATCCAAGGATGATTATAACCGACGTATGTAACTGCGCGGTAGTAAACACGGACGATACGAAGATACAAGGACAAGCGCAGACTATCAACTGAAGGTTTATTTTTCACAAACCACATATATATGACTGAAACAGAAACAGAAAACACGAAAATCTACAAAAAATGATGACTTAGCACTTAACAATCGACAAAACGTGAACGTTAGACAAAAGCAGATTCAAGGACCATGTGCGCCACTTGCCAGATACCGTAGCTCTTTATCTAAAAGAGCTAACGACGGTTTGCTGACGCAGTGTTCTGGTTCCCGTGCCATTTTTTTCCGCTTCGACAATCATACGGGTATGATCGTCTTTGTGCCTGAACATTACGACCGTGCTTTCGAACTGCGCAATGCAGCCACACCTACTGACGTGCTGAGCTAAAAAACCCTCATTGCCAGTGCGCACATTGCGTGCGTGCTCGCGCAGGCGCTCATTTAGGCATCTCCCAGTCTGCCCGATGTAACACGCACCACAAGATAGCGGAATTCTATAAACTACATTCATGTCACATCTGACAAACTGGGTTTTATGCCTGACAGTGCAAGCTTGTTTGGGCCTATTGTTTACACATGTCATTTTGGCTAGCTGAGAGAGCTTGTAAGGTGCCGAAAAAACGACCTTTACGCCCATGCGCTGTCCGAGCTTTTTTATCTTGTGAGATAGCTGGTGCTTATAAGGGATTACCGCGACTTTGTCACGTTTGCTTTTGTCTCTGTCATTAGTGCTCTCTCTGCTTCTGGGCTTTTTCTTCTTTTTATTGTTTCTGCCACAGAAATGAGAAGCGAATCCGGGTAGCCAGCTTCTTTCAGACGCTCGACTTGATTTTGGAAGCTTGTTTCCATCATATGGAAACATGATCTGTCCAGGGCATTAGTGAAGCAGGAGTTCACTATGCCTCTCTTAACCAATTTGCTATGCGCTGATTTAAAAGGCAAAAGCGGTTTCATAGCGCGAGGCTCATACATCCAGCATGCGTGATTCACGCTGAACAAAAGTCTCATGTCTAGGAAGCGAATCGAGTTGTTCACTGGGAGTTCATGGGTCAGTACGAGTGGACTCAAGCAGTCACTAAAAACTTCAATGACATCAGATGACAACCCCATTACTCTAGCAGATTCACACTTAAAAACCACCAGGTAGTCGTCGACGAACCTGAAAATCCTCACAACTTCCTGGCAACACAGCCGCTCTTTCAAGTTCCTGTCGAACTTCGCAAGCAACAAATCACTCAGAATCGGTGCAATCGAAGATCCTATTGACACGCCATTATTTTGATAAACATCACCGTTCCATTCTACATAGGTAGAGGTCAGATAGGTAGCTAGCAGGTCAAGAAAACTGCTAACACTGACACCAGCTGCATTCTGGAACGTTACGTGGCCCATTAGATCAACACATTCTTCTATGCATGAATACAAAGCGTCACGAGGGAGAGAATAATATAAATCTTTGATATCTATGGAAAAAGCACTTAAAGTGTAGTTAGAATACTCTTTGAAGAATTCAGTGACCACCCTTGAATTCCTGACTAGAAAGGGATCATTAATCTCTAAAAGTTTCAACTTTTTCTGCAAAAACATCCCTAAGGCGTTTTGCCAAGAACCCTTCTCTGTAACGATGACACGAAATGGCACGTCGACTTTGTGTGTCTTTGCCGAAAAAAACATCTCTAGGGCCAACTTCTCACTTTTTTCTATCTTTCTTGCTATTTCAGACAGGTTAAGCTTCGTGCACAGTTTTTTCGCCTTAGATTTGACTTTAACCAGGTCAATACCACTGCACTTTTGGAAGACGGATGTGACCGCACTTACAGCTTTCTTCAGGTACAAGTCTTTGTTGAGGACCGCGAAGCCTCCCTCCTTGTCCGAAGGCACCACGCACAGTTCGTTGTCTCGTAGATGTGAAATTGTCCTGCTTAAAGGAAGACTACTTACGCACGGCTTAACTTGCTGCAGCACATCAACTCCTTCAGACACGCACCTGTTACAGTCTTCTTGTGGAGCAAGGCTTGAAACACGTCTCACTATGGCCAGAAGATCCGGTGCGGTGTACTTCTTGTCTATGGCGTACTTGGGGCCTAAGCTCAACGTCCGCCGCACGAAGTCTGGAAGAACTACGTCACCACACGTGTGCAAGATAGAAAAAAGTGAGAAGTTGGCCCTAGAGATGTTTTTTTCGGCAAAGACACACAAAGTCGACGTGCCATTTCGTGTCATCGTTACAGAGAAGGGTTCTTGGCAAAACGCCTTAGGGATGTTTTTGCAGAAAAAGTTGAAACTTTTAGAGATTAATGATCCCTTTCTAGTCAGGAATTCAAGGGTGGTCACTGAATTCTTCAAAGAGTATTCTAACTACACTTTAAGTGCTTTTTCCATAGATATCAAAGATTTATATTATTCTCTCCCTCGTGACGCTTTGTATTCATGCATAGAAGAATGTGTTGATCTAATGGGCCACGTAACGTTCCAGAATGCAGCTGGTGTCAGTGTTAGCAGTTTTCTTGACCTGCTAGCTACCTATCTGACCTCTACCTATGTAGAATGGAACGGTGATGTTTATCAAAATAATGGCGTGTCAATAGGATCTTCGATTGCACCGATTCTGAGTGATTTGTTGCTTGCGAAGTTCGACAGGAACTTGAAAGAGCGGCTGTGTTGCCAGGAAGTTGTGAGGATTTTCAGGTTCGTCGACGACTACCTGGTGGTTTTTAAGTGTGAATCTGCTAGAGTAATGGGGTTGTCATCTGATGTCATTGAAGTTTTTAGTGACTGCTTGAGTCCACTCGTACTGACCCATGAACTCCCAGTGAACAACTCGATTCGCTTCCTAGACATGAGACTTTTGTTCAGCGTGAATCACGCATGCTGGATGTATGAGCCTCGCGCTATGAAACCGCTTTTGCCTTTTAAATCAGCGCATAGCAAATTGGTTAAGAGAGGCATAGTGAACTCCTGCTTCACTAATGCCCTGGACAGATCATGTTTCCATATGATGGAAACAAGCTTCCAAAATCAAGTCGAGCGTCTGAAAGAAGCTGGCTACCCGGATTCGCTTCTCATTTCTGTGGCAGAAACAATAAAAAAGAAGAAAAAGCCCAGAAGCAGAGAGAGCACTAATGACAGAGACAAAAGCAAACGTGACAAAGTCGCGGTAATCCCTTATAAGCACCAGCTATCTCACAAGATAAAAAAGCTCGGACAGCGCATGGGCGTAAAGGTCGTTTTTTCGGCACCTTACAAGCTCTCTCAGCTAGCCAAAATGACATGTGTAAACAATAGGCCCAAACAAGCTTGCACTGTCAGGCATAAAACCCAGTTTGTCAGATGTGACATGAATGTAGTTTATAGAATTCCGCTATCTTGTGGTGCGTGTTACATCGGGCAGACTGGGAGATGCCTAAATGAGCGCCTGCGCGAGCACGCACGCAATGTGCGCACTGGCAATGAGGGTTTTTTAGCTCAGCACGTCAGTAGGTGTGGCTGCATTGCGCAGTTCGAAAGCACGGTCGTAATGTTCAGGCACAAAGACGATCATACCCGTATGATTGTCGAAGCGGAAAAAATGGCACGGGAACCAGAACACTGCGTCAGCAAACCGTCGTTAGCTCTTTTAGATAAAGAGCTACGGTATCTGGCAAGTGGCGCACATGGTCCTTGAATCTGCTTTTGTCTAACGTTCACGTTTTGTCGATTGTTAAGTGCTAAGTCATCATTTTTTGTAGATTTTCGTGTTTTCTGTTTCTGTTTCAGTCATATATATGTGGTTTGTGAAAAATAAACCTTCAGTTGATAGTCTGCGCTTGTCCTTGTATCTTCGTATCGTCCGTGTTTACTACCGCGCAGTTACATACGTCGATCATGAATCACCAACTCGCCCAATCGTCCACCTTGATGATTATAACCATCACTGTTGTTAGATTGCATATCAGCATAAATATTATATATAGTGTTGATGTAGCTGTCAGGAATGCCAGCACCAGAGAACAAAGAGAAGGCATGCCAGGCGGCGACTTGGATGAACATCATAGACACTGACAGGCACTGGAAAGACCTAATTTTTTGTTAAACAGCTAGTTGTGTGTTTTATGTATGGTACTTTCTTAGGGCAAACTAGGTTATATCACAAAGCAAAACCCAAACTTCACAAGATGTAGATTAGCTAAGGTTTACATGGAGCGATCTAGGATGAAAACAAAATATTTGAATTACTGTCTCTGTTGTTCCCAGGGCTACTACAAGGACACGGTGGAGTACTTCTTCGAAAGCCGAAATGAGTGCAAGAACTTCTGGAAAAAGTGCATAGAAAACCATGCATTTTTTCGCTGCACCGAGGTAAAAAAAAGCCCTCGGCAGAAAGCACGGCTCTTCAGCCGAGGATCATCCTTCAGGTGAGTTTCCCTGTGATACATGTTGGATGCCTGGTTTGAGCATGCTGCAACTCATCGCATGGCCATTGCTTTCAGCTGCGTAGCTGTTTTTTTAAAGAGACATTGGATTGTTGAAATAGAGTTCTATAAATGTCATTGGACTTGTTTTGTGCCAAGGAATTACTTAGCTTGTAATTCAATCGCATTTTAATGGTCTGCATATTGTTAGCACCATTCAAGTCACCCACTTCCCAAAATGACCTTCTGATGTAGTGTTCACCTTGCCTTTACTTGTACCGCTTGTGAGCCAGCACAGCAGAGCACAGTGTTATGAAAACATAACTTTCTCCGTTCTCAAAGGTCATGTCAACAGAACTTCTTCCATGTATCCGATATCCGACTGAAATATACAAGTTGAATTCTAGTCCATCTTGTAATGTACCAAAATGTTCTTTTCTTGTCATTGGTGGTTCGAATACTTAGGATTACTTGTACTGAGGACCAACTGTGTCATTAGGCCTGTGTTCCAAGATATCTAACTCGTGGTGCAAGTTATAAGCTACATTTACCTTAAAATGGCTACTGTGCATAATCTTGTAGTTCTCGCCCCGCTGTGGTGATCTGGTGGCTAAGGTACTCAGCTGCTGACCCGCAGGACGTGGGATTGAATCCCGGCTGCGGCGGCTGCATTTTCGATGGAGGCGAAAATGCTGTAGGCCCGTGTGCTCGGATTTGGGTGCACGTTAAAGAACCCCAGGTGGTCAAAATTTCCGGATCCCTCTATTACGGCGTGTCTCATAATCATATGGTGGTTTTGGGACATTAAATCCCGCATGTCAATCAATCTTGTAGTTATCAGGCATTGACCTTTCACTCTACACACTATTATACTTTACACAGGCAAAACCAACAAACAAAAAAAAGTTGTCGGTTTTGAACTAAATGCTGGCTGAGTGTCTGAAATGCCAATAAACATGCTTTTTCGAAGCAAAAATAACATTTGAAAGGTCCACATACATCAAGTGAATTCTAAGTCTCCGTTCCAAAGTGGGGATAATTATGTTGATACATCATCACCTGCTTGCCAGGTGACATTATGGTTTCTTATCTAAAGTATGCCTAAAATGCTAGAAACGTTGCCTGAAACTGGGGCGACGACATGATGCAGACATGGCATTTTGCTTTACTTGCAGAGAGATATTCGTAGTAAAGCAAAGCACTGCACATTAGCAAACTAGTGAAATAGGAGTTTGCGGGCAACAAAAATCGTAGTTGCCACGACATGTTTCAGACTGACTTTGAATGTGGTGCCTACTGCTCCCAAAAAATAGCTTTTGATGTTGGTTAGTAACTAAGAAAAAGTTGTCTCCCAGACACAAGTTTATGCACTACTTAGGGTCACGTCAAAGGGTATTTACTATTTTCTCTAAGAACGAAATGGATGGTGACATGAGTCTTGTACTGCATCATTGTGAAGGAAGTCTTCAGACAATGGGAATTGAAAAATAGGAACCGCATTTGCAAATTAAGCCATTCAGTTAATGATAGTGTGTTGATGTCGTTAGCATTTATTTATTGTTTCAATGAAACCTTCAATAATTTAACCATTTTTAATGTACACATTTTTTTTCCTGTCCTGTGAAACAAGCTTTTATTCTACGCATACCCTGGCTCAGAATTCTACACACACACACACACACGCACGCACACACACACACACACACACACACACACACACACACACACACACACACACACCACACACACACACACACACACACACCCACACACACACACACACACACACACACACACAACACACACACACACACACACACACACACACACACACACACACACACACCACACACACACACACACACACACACACACACACACACACACACACACACACACACACACCCACACACACACACACACACACACACACCACACACACACACACACACACACACACACACACACACACACACACACACACACACACACACCACACACACACACACACACACACACACACACACACACACACACACACACACACACACACACACACCACACACACACACACACACACACACACACACACACACACACACACACACACACACCACACACACACACACACACACACACACACACACACACACACACAGAGAGAGAGAGAGAGAGAGAGAGAGAGAGAGAGAGAGAGAGAGAGAGAGACAGAGCAAACACTTCCCCTTCGGAGACAGCATTCATGAAGATTTTAAGGGGAGGCCTTGTTTAATTGTGGATTGAAATTTAAGATGGTGGGAGAAGAGCCACTAAGAACAAAAAATTCACTCATGTGCTTTTAATGAGATGCTCTATTGAATAGTACGAATGCTCTCACTGTTTCAAAAACTTTGACTGAAACAATAAAGACGACAAAAGAGAGGATTAGGGGGCTTGCTCAGTCATTGGCACATATTTCAAATCTCTTAAAAACAGGAAGGGCCATTTGCTCAGGTTGGGGTGGCTCACTTGGAATTTTACAGTAATTTTTTTTCATCCAGTATAAAATTCCTTGACAGTATAAAAAAAAGGAAAGATATTAAGAGACTGTGATGCACGGGTGTGCTAATATATAAAAATTTGAAATAATGAATCAAGTAGCCAACTGTTTAATTTGATACTCACATAAAATAATGCAGGTTTTAAATACTGAATACACTTTTTAAAATCAGCACCAATAGAAAAACCCAAAATGTAAAAAATGATGGAGCCACAGAACATTGTGTGGCATGTTTTTTTTTTTTACCAATTCACTAAGTTGTATGCAGCCCATGCCTTTACGGGACATTTAATTTTATATTAATTACTAGTTGGAGCTGTTCTTTAAACTCCAGTATCGTCAATCTACTATCGTCATCGTTAGGTTAATGGTGTTCATAGTGCAACTGTTTTCAATACAGTGGCACCCTCTCTCATGTGCTGTAGCTATATTCTCTTTTATTCACTATGAGGTGAACTGCCATTGCTCATTCAATATTCAAAAGTACCACCTTGATTATTGCATTATTTGCAGTATGCAAATAAGTAAGGCTGCTTTGTAGGCTAGTTGGTATGACTTCGTGGCTTGTTTGTGCTGCTAGGAACTACACGAAAGGGCCAAAGAAAAGGACGTGCACATGACACTGTATCCAAATTTAGCTCAGTTTACATAATTGTTGTATATTTTGTCGGTTCGAGTAAGAAAACTCCAATCCCATATGTTTCACTATCATAAGTTCATTATAAGTGGAGAAAATTAAGGTTGAAGTTTCACTTTTAAATTGCTCGCTGAAATCTCTGCGTGTCACGTCAAAAATTTCAGAATATATTTTTCGTATTTTCACGACGTTGGCTTGATGAAGTTTGAAACTTCATATGCTAGGCCTATGGCACCCAAAGATGGCAATGTATACTTCATTTTCATTGATTAGAAGCTACGTAGGGACGCAGTAGATGTCTTCAAAATTTGCAACATCACTTTGATGCTGGAATCTCAAGGTGGCATCTCCACCCGTATCTTCTTTTCATAGGTTTTTTCACTTGCCAAGTGTCGTGTTGCAGTAAGAGTGGTATTATCAGGATTGGGAAATTGTACTTTACTAATATGCGAAAAATCATTTTGCTCTTTAGTGTCTCTTCAAGGTTTGCACATTCAAACCCTCAAATAATTATTCTGCAAAAGCATGGGAATATGTTTGACATGTAATAGTATAAAACTTTTCACGAAGTTGGCGTGCTTTATATGCAAAATTCAATGAACAAAATTGCTTCAAGGCACTGTTTTATTATAGTGTAAGGAAAGAGGCTTTACAACAATATGCGGGAAGTTCTTTTTTAGTTTTACTTTTCTTAAGGTTGTAGTGTACACGTATCTTGAAGGAGTAGGGCTACTCGCGCGGGTCTGGTCTTAGCGAGCCACAGGGCATGCGCTAATCATTGCCGTGGCGAGAACACGGTACTGCTCAAGATCGCAACACTTTATTGTCTGCGGCAACACCAAAATGTAGTACAGAGCTTGTTACAAAAGGAGTGTCGGGAAAGCAAATGGACTTATCCACGCCCCGGGCGAGAAGTACTACACAGGGTGCCGCGAGCACGACTTCGTGGGCAAAAGTGATTCATGGTGACACTGGGGCAAAAGGCCCGATCGCTTGAGCAAGGGCAAAAAGCCACTCGCGCTGACTTCCTAGAGGTACGGGTCGGCGTAGTATGACCTCGCAATAGGACACTGCATCGCTCTACCGCCTAGCATTCGAAAGGGGTGGTGACAAAAGGTAAGCGTTCGCCGTGGGCACAAGACGCCGTTGGTGCAGTCCAAACGAGCCCCAAACAAAGGGCGCCGATGGACGGAAAAGAAATGCGTGCTTACTCCATGTCGTCCTTTAAGAGGTTCTCTCTCTCTCAACGCGCGCGCAAAGTGTTTTGAGAGATACCCCGCATGGCGCCACAGTCGACATCCTCTACTGGGTGAAAGGTGCCACTCCCCGCTCCCCCAGCGTGACAGACTGTGGAGGAAGGGAGTCATGTCGGGATATATGCAGAAAGAGGCAGCAAAGCCCGCACAAAGGCGGTGGCCTAGCCTCGATTCCCACAAGGTTTGTAGTGGAGCCTAGGATCTCTGTAGGGGCGATTTATACACAGCAAATTATTGTGCCGTTGTAAACTGTACCTCAACATTTTCATACACCGCTGCATGTAGTTGTCAGGCATTGGAAGCCTATCGGGCCCTTATGTTGGCCTTGTTTTTCAATTTTACTGAACGTGCTTCTTGGGATATTGCATACAGCACCGACATCAGAGTTCGTTCTCTGTGTTTGACTGTGTTAATTAGTGCACAGCTTTGTAGAGAACAGCAATTTGTGTCATTTCACGGCAACCATTGTATTAACAAACTAAAAAAAAGCAAATGGCGACCGCAGACAACAAGTCAACTAGGACTCGTGGAAAAAAAAAACAACTCTGCACCTGGCTTATCGCACGCTGTTGCTTATCAGCCACGGCCACCGACAGAGACAGTCTGCGCAGCTTTCGCGCTGAGTCTGCCGGCCGCATGAGCCCTGCACAAGCAACAAAACTGAGGAAGGGCGAAACATGTAAGGAAGGGCATTTCAGCTCCACCAACGTGAAATCTGTGGAGCGGCGAAGGATGCAGCCTGCATTTAGTTAATACACACACTGCAAATCTTACACACACTGCGAAACACTCAAGAGAAATTTTGTGTGTCTGTGGACTATCTAGCCTTTCACTAGCACTACATTGCAGGTTAAGATCTAGTGCCTATACAGTAGACTCGCAATAATTAAAACTCTGATAATTCATACTTTCAGTTCATTAAAATAAAATTCAATTTTTTGGTTGGCCCTCTATTCCTTCAATGTATTTAAAATCCTCTTAATTCAAACTCTATCATTCGGTTAATTGATACTTTTTGCAGATGCGTATCAGAAATATCTGCTGCTTTCCCACTACTGTTTAAAAATTTGCGTGCCTATATAATCCTAATAGTCCAAAAATGAAAGATAAGCACTTGAGGCCTTCAAGAAGAAAGGCTTTGCAGTTAATAAATGTTTGAAACAAAGCACACGCATGGTAAACCATGATGCTTCTCAACTGGTATAGAAAGCTTTGTGCTGAAGGCACAAACCTATATCAATGAAGCAGTTCGAAGTTCACGATTTCTTTAAAAGGTCTGATCAGCAGTAAATGGCCAATAAACATTTGGACTTTACACCTCTGCTTTCTGTTCACGGCATGCAGTTACGGTTTAAAAACACTTAAAATTTTCTAAATGTGATAAAACCAATGCTTAATCATAATGCGTGGTGTCACCTCACCCATAATCATCTATCTGAGAACTTGTGATAATTTAAACTTCTTCATAATTCAAACTAAAATCAGAAATCCCTTTGAGTTCAAATTAACGAGAGTCGATATATACGAGCTGGCCAGTTAACGGTTGTGCAGCACATTGTCTTTCGCAGGCTAGGGAGCATGTTCATAGCCAACGTGTGCCGTTCACTCTCAGTGAGTGCTGAAGAGGTGGCAAGAGGTAGCGAAGTCTCTCTTGGCGAAAAAAGGTGGTCTCTCTCTTGTGCCCAAGCAAATTGTCTGTCATGACAGTAGCAAACAACGCATGCCGACATGCTAAGATCCTACGGTGCTTCACCCCTAAAAAGCATATAATGGCTTATAAATTAACCTTTTGCATGTTTGGAGTACACATGCACCATATCTTAACGGCAACAGCAAATGCTGAAAGGAATATACGGACAAGGCCGGGCTTCGAAGAGCATGCACTTGGCTCAAGATAATTGTATGGTGTAGGCTGTTCATAGAGCAGACAGCGCACGAGTCAAAATGTGCGGCTATCTGGTTTCAAGGTTGGTGCACTAGGCTGATGCAACACTGATGCTGAATAGTCATCGACGTGCATGACACTAACATCATAATTTGGCCAACTAATCATGCTGTTCCACTGACTGGCATGATTGGTCACTAAGCAAAAACATGGCGCTGGCACATACATACTTATCGGTGCTCACATCTACTGTAAACAAGTTTCCGAAGTTGAAATGCACGTGCAAGCGCATATGCTTGGGCATGTTGGTAATTTATGGTTACCTTTTTAGGCTCACCAAACAAACAAGGATGAAAAAATTCCATTGAAGCATCGTGGGTGTCCATTGTTTTTTTGTCTTTGTTCGTTTAGTGTGCTGAAAAGTGAACATGAAATTCACGCTGTCCTTGGAGTTTGAGCAGGTGTGGATCTCATTCCACAATTTCAATTGAGGAAATTTTTTTGGTACTTATGTTGAACATTGAACGAATCTGTTAAACCTTTTCCTACATGTCTCTCAGTGTACACAGCATAAATGGTCACCAAGCTTTCACACATGCAGAAAAGAAGATATTGAAAGGCCTCTTTCTAGAGCAAAGCTTGGCAGCCAAAATGAGTAAAAGCAGTTGGTGTGATACAGTGCTTCATCGCATCGCCTTCACAGTCCCTAGGAGCAGTTCTGAAGCTGCATCAGTATCTACAAGCATTGCTTCAGATCCTCTCGAGTGCAACACATGCCAAGTTTACTTCTAGTAACCCTAGTATGAAACTGTGCTGCCCATATGGAGAACACAGGACTAGTAGACATAAACTTTACTGCTAATTGTTCTGACTAAGGGCACTGTTTGTTGCATCAGGTTCTATCATAATCATAAATATTCCTTTTAATTTTTGATTGCATATGTTAGAATGTTTGTCATTGTGAGGGCGTTAGGTCCAATCAAACAAAGTGACTATGTTGGTCATGCAGCTTTGTTGCGTTCTGTGATCATTTCTCATGATACAACATAGTTGGGTGCTGCCTCCCCACCCTTTTTCCACCCATACGTGAGTGTACTCTTGCCTTTCAGGGTTCCCTGCCAGTCCTTTGTGCACAACAGTCATTTTGAAAACAGTGTGAATCAGGGCTGATGACCAGATTGACTGTGTGTGCCATTGTGCACCTCCTTGACATTGTTTTGCCCTGCATGCTAGTTCTAAGAGCTGCATGGTCATTGTAATGAAGGACGTGTTGCCTTTTGAGCAGGTGCGAGCGTGATGTGTCATTGGGAACCCAGGACCTGAATGTCCCAGCTGTTGTGCATGTGCCAAGATCTGACCAGCAGCACTGTGGAGACCTTGTTTGGCTCCAGCTCCTACTTGGGCTGTGCTGACTTCGGTTGGCACCGAATGCTGTGAGAAGTGTGGAGATTTATGGTAGTTGTCATTGTTCCCTGTGATGTCTTTTTGGTCATGCCCTGTAGGCACTGCTGCAGCTGTGTAGAAGTGTGTTGGATGCCCTTGGTTAGTGCACTGGGAAGAATGGATGTGTTGGCATGCTGTAGAACATGGGGATGCCCTGAGAGCAGCCCTGCCCTCTACCCTGCCCTTTTATTTTTATTTTTTGTTACCTCAGGACACACAAAACTTGTGGTACCTATTGTGAACATGCACACACAAACCCACTGTAGGAATCACTGCACTAGATCACCTCACTGCCATCTTATGGCTAACTTGCAGCTGGAGGAATTAAATGAGCAAGGGGCTTGACGAAGCATGTACTCTTTCTTCTCTTTGCAGGTATAGTGGTAGAACGCAGAAGCAGATTGTTGAATATGTTAGGGAGAACTATGTCAAGAGGCAGCCGTTTCAAAGGTACATACTCGGTCCCCAATACTTTACCGTTTGACACTCGAATGCCTTAACCGGTATGTGGCAAACATCTCTTTGCTCTCTCTCTGTTTTCACTCTCACCCATCTTCCAGACCCTGCATACACTCTCCTAGTTCGCATTGCCCTGTCCCTTGGTTTTGCACTTCCCGGTGTTGTCTGTGCTAGGGGCTGTGCTTGGTTCTGTTGTTGGGTGTGGCATGCTTTGCATGCTTACCCTGGGGTGGCTGCTTCGACCCATGCCTGTCAAAGTAAATTGTGCTGCTTTTATCATTCTACAAACTGGTAATTCTGCTACCTTTCTACATTTGTGCCCATGCAGTGCTGCGTGCATGCAATATATTTTAGAATACAAATCTAGTGAAACTCTTTGCATCCTGTGCTCAGTAAAGTTACAGTTGTATTCATTCAGTATAGCAAGTAATGCAATTGAGCCACCTGGCATAATGCTTCCTTTTTTTTTTTGTCCTTCACTAATGAAATGAATATAAGCATTCCTCATGGTAAATATGCCATCTGATTTTGTGGACTACACAGCTTTAGGCTGGATAAGGTGACAAAACTATGCTTATTGCCAATGCAATACAGTCAAACCTGGGCACATGAACCTTCTAATAAAGTGCAGTATAGTTCAACAATTGCAACTCATGGGGACAAATTGCAACTCATGATTACGGAGTTAGACAAGGAGAGCAAAAAGGTGGGTCTTAAAATTAATCTGCAGAAAACAAAAGTAATGTACAACAACCTCGGAAAAGAGCACCGCTTCGAGATAGGTAATAGTGCACTTCACGTTGTAAAAGACTAAGTTTACTGAGGGCAGGTAATAACCGCGGAGACGAACCACGAGATTGAAATAACTAGAAGAATAAGAATGGGGTGGAGCACATTTGGCAAGCACTCTCAAATTATGACAGGTAGATTGCCACTATCCCTTAAGAGGAAGGTATATAACAGCTGTATCTTGCCGGTACTTAGCTACGGAGCAGAAACCTGGAGACTTACAAAGAGGGTTCAGCTTAAATTGAGGACGACGCAGCGAGCAATGGAAAGAAAAATGGTAGGTGTAACCTTAAGAGACAAGAAGAGAGCAGAGTGGATTAGGGAACAAATGGGGGTTAAGGATATCATAGCTGAAATCAAGAAGAGGAAATGGACATGGGCCGGGCATGTAGCGCGTAGGCATGATAACCGCTGGTCATTAAGGGCAACTAACTAGATTCCCAGAGAAGGCAAGCGAGCTAGGGGGAGACGGAGGGTTAGGTGGGCAGATGAGATTAAGAAGTTCGCGGGTATAAATTGGCAGCAGCAAGCACAGGTCTGGGTTAACTGGCGGAACATGGGAAAGGCCTTTGTCCTGCAGTGGACGTAGTCAGGCTGATGATAATGATGATGATGATAGTTCAACATATCAGTAGCTCGAAGTACAAAACATGCCTATGAACACCATAGAAAAAACGATTCTATGGTTGAATGTGCTCGAACGTGGTTAGACAAAGCCTATAGAGCAACTACCGCGGAAACCATGCCGCAGCGAGGTTACGTGCGTCTGCAGTAGAGCACTGTTCATATTCTGACGTGGAAGTCTTGAGGCACATGTGCCTCGAGACTGGTCTTGCGGCTTTTGCTGACTAATAGGAATGGGTGCGTGGGAGATGAGAATAAACTGACACTGCACATGTCCATTGGTATGACTGCGCACGTGCAAGGAGTGAGTGGAGGAAATTAATGTTGACTAAGCTTTATGGTCAAACTTATGCACCAGGTCATTTCCTGGGTTTTTACTAAGAGGATTAGAACTTCATTCCAACAATTCTACTGGCTTGAGACAGTCTCTTGAGACGCTCTCTCGAGCTTTGTTTTTGCCGCATGCATTCAGAGCTGCATAGTCACCATCCATGATTGTGCATTAGCAAGGTTTCATGTGCACAAGATGCGGTGCTTAACTTTTTCATTTCCCCTGTGAGTGTAGGCTGTATACGTGCCTCCGACCGCACAATTAGTGACCACAGTAAATGTTACACTCAGTAGCTTCGTTTGGCTTGAGGCCATGCACGTGCAAAATCACCAAACTCAGGCATAGTGGAAGCTGTTTAAGATGGTGAGTTTAGCCGCACTTTGCATGGTGGCTTGCTCACTCACTTGCTACATCTTCATGGACAAACGGTGACCTGCCAGCCATTTTTCTGGCAAAAATGTCATGGTACGTTGTGCACGTGGTGGTGTTTGTGTAGATGGTAGTTAACCAAGCGGGTGTTTAGAGTATGTTCCAGTTTAATTAAGAAACCGTGGTCTTGAGTTGTAATCACATAGTGAACGAAGTCATGAATTATAAACATTACAGCTTTTATACTCTTCTTTTGCAAAATAAATACTGGGTCTACATATTTATCAGGAAAATAAAAGTGCATTGCTATAATAGGCATTTGTTCCCACTCCAATTATTCAGCAATATTTATACTTTAAATAGTTGAAAATAATCTGAATTTAAACATTCTTTTCTGTCAGATCAAATCCATATTAACAAGCTCATACTCTAATTCAATGTAGCCAGGTTTGTTGTATCTGTAATGTGCGACTGATGGCAGTTTGAGGTAGAACCTGTTCATATAATCAACAGATGGCTTATACACTGAGGAAAAACATAAACACTTACTTTACTGCTTAATAGTTATGCCTGTTGTTGAAGCTAATTACTGGTTAGTTTTGCCAACAAGAAGTACACTTCAAAACAAGAATTATTCTACAAGAATATAGTCATTATAACGAAAAACCAAATTACAGCATTTTGGTAATTTACAAGTACAAATGCTGCACATTGTTTCGTGATTGTATATTTATATTAATTTTATTTAGTTTTTTGTTTAATTGGTAATTGGTGAGAAATGTCAGAATTGCTGTTTTTCTCTGGTAGTGTTTTTTTTTTTTTTTGGAAAAAAGTTGTTGCCATTTATTTACAAGAACATGTCTTTTCTTTGCATGCCACACTTCATTTTTTCAGCTAACTTGGAAAGTTTGCCATGTTCATTACAAGAAAATATATTCTAATTCTGTAACTTGTTTTCTCAGACTGTTTGCTAAGGCTCGCTGGTATTGTCATTGTTGCTAAATGTTTGTGGTCATATGACCACAAACCAGCAGTGCGGTATTTTAGCAAGATAAAGTAAATTAGACCTGTAGTCAGGTTACTGTGTCTGTATTTATATCAGAATGTCACCTGTTCATTATGAAATATTAGAGATTGTTTTTATTTGGGTGCCACTAAATTATTCAAAAGAGTGTTCAGTAAGTATTATTCAGTAATACGGAAATTATTCAGTAAGTACCAGCTATTAAGCTGGTACTTACTGACAACTCTCACTGAGCAAAATTATTGTGACAACAGTTAGTAGATTGATACAGGGTCTGCTTTGTTGATTCATATTTATATTGCTTCAACGTGTTCATTACCATGCAATATCATTGTCATGTCATGTCTCTGCAACCAACGTGTTCATTACTGCCATGCCATGACCATCATCATCGATGCGCTATTGTCATACAGTCATTTTTATCATGTCACAGCTATTGCTGTGCGGTTGTCAGACTGAAATTGTGGTTTTGCTCGTTGCAAAGGGAGAGGACATTAATTGCTGTCACAGTAAACAGTCGTAGTATGGTAGGAGCTGATTGATTGGGTGGCCTTTAATTTGTTATTTTGTTTTCTCGCTTGCCAGTCAGCACTCTGTGCTCCCACACCACCGTGTTAGTCCACAACAGCAGTCATAAATCATTCCCGCTTCTATTTTCATTATTTTTTGTAGCTCTTCTTCAAAACCTGCTGCTAGCAGCCTTACGTTGTTGAAGCTTTTCAAAATATGACTGCAGGAGAACATTCTTCTCTGAATCTTTAAGAGATGCACATTAACATCCAAGAAGAAGCATAATGTCAGTTAAGACTCGCACTTGCAGAAGTTCATGTACATCAAATTTCTTCAAAATGTCCAACTCTTTGGCAAGAAAATTGGAGAATTTTTTTTTAATTTAACGTCCACAGCCATCATGTCATGCATATGTGATAAGCATTTTTTTTATTCAGTACCCGGAAATCTTCCTGAATCCTGCCTTTTTTCTCATATATTTCAATGTAACCTTTTATTTAAGTACTTGTGAAGTGTCATCTACACTCAAACCTCATTGTAACAAACTAGCATTGGGACCGTAATTAGTTTATGTCTAGTACTTGCTGTAACTAGTAAGAGATAGAAACTGGCTCTAACAAATTGGCAACCTTAGCGAAGCTATATTACTAGGTACAGAAATGCATGCACTGTGCAAAACAAAGTTTTCCAGTGTCCATATACAACAGGGCCTTTTCCACTTCAGTTATTTCAGTTGTCAGGAGATTCTACAAGTGGTTTCCAAGTCATCAGGCCATGTCCGTGGCATCCACGTGACTTATTTCCACAAAAATGTCTGCAACACCTGTACGACATCTAAAATAAAGTCTTCTAATGTTACGGCTGAGTTGTAAACGAGAATGTGGTCATGGATTAATTTTCAATATTTAATCTGCTTTTTGTTTTAAATTTAGAATTCTGAGCATTGTGTGAACCAAATATAACTTCATTAAAGCCGATATGGGAGTGGCTGTTCCTTTTTCGGTTTCAGTTATAAAAAGGGTATATGTCATAAAATCAAGCATATTGGTGTTTAGTTCACTAGAACCGATAACTCGCTATACAGTTGAACCTCTTTATAAAAGACATGCACTGGGCATCAATTCGTGTCTTTTACGTGAGGTGTCTCTTATAAGAACAGTGCCACATATGGATTTTCTGATCAGCCTCTATTTTATGCAGGCACACTGGTGTCTCTTACACCCAATAGTCTGTTATATAGGTTTCTGTTTTAAGTGGGGTTCGACTGTATAGGTGTTTGTTAAATCGACATTTCACTGCACAACTCTAGCTTACTTTGGACAAAGGCCCTAATTGTGTTGCTGTGCCAGTCAATACCAAGGCTTTGGCAGGTTGTTTCACAAAGAGGTTGTGTGTAACCAAATTTGCATAAAACTGGCTTGGGGTGTCAAAATTGAGTGAGATTAAGTTTTGCCCAAAAGGGCACTACTTGGAGAAATTCTTGTCTATTTGGCCATTGCATGATAACTTTGGTTCAGGTAGAAAGGAATGACATTGTGCTTTTATTAGTGGCACATCCAGTGGCACATCCAGCATTGTGGCACATTAGTGGCACAATTAGTGGCACATCCAGCATTGTGTCATATCTGCAGGTACATTAATGTCATGCCTGCTTTATAATGCATGCGTAAAATAATGGTGGTGCCTATGTATATGCTGCAGATGCACACACGTCATTGTGCAGGTAAACTAATATGACTCTTTCCCCTACCCTTTCCCGTGCCACAGATCAACAAGCCTGCGCTTACCATCTCACGGTAGTGCAGGCACTTCAGACAATGAGGAGAACATTCAGTCAGCGGCTGCTGCAACCTCAGAACCAAGTTCTCCACGACGAGACACGAGCCGTGACACACCTCGGCTTACTGAGGGTGCTGTGACACCTAGCCAGGACACAGATGACAACATTTCACACGATTCATATCGGCTGGAGGAAGGGGACTCGTCCATCGCTGCACCCACACCGAGTGCAGACAATTCAAGTAAGGAACCAAGCTCAGTGGTGAATGGGGGTCCCGAAAGCGGCCGTCGACGGTCGGGTGAGCTCTCTCGAGCTAGTCGCAGCTTTGATGAGGAAGATTCAGAGTTTGGGTATGTGTTGCATCGAAGGGGGTTCCTCCGTGACAGTAGAATGCGGCGTAGCGAGGGGCACCCTCGCCGCAGGCCACGAACAGACGTAGGCAGAGGCTCACGCCAGTCGAGCCCACCTACCATTTTTGCGCGAGCTCGTGCCCTGGGGCCTCGAGTGGTTGGGTCTGTGGATTTCGTGCACCTGGCGCAGCTGCCAAGGGCTGACAGCTTTTCATCCCACGATGACTCTCTTGAAGAAGATTCTCTTGAAAGAGAGATCATGGCGGTGCTTCGCAAAAAGAAATTGCTGGGCGATGAGCCCGCACGCTCCAGCCTTTCCACAGCAGATGCCTCTAGTGTCCAGCAAATTCCCACTGAACAGGCAGTGCAAAAAGTTTCTCCCAAAAAAGTTTCTCCGAAAGAAGTTTCTCTGGAGGAAAAGCCCGACTTGTCTTTAGAGCTGGCAACTGTGCCACTTCCCGAAGAAAGTCTGATGGCCCAGCTCAGCCCCATTGCCATAGGTCCTACTGAGGATGCCTTGCTGGGAGGCCTGGTGGGCATCCCACCACCTCCGGAGTACCGCTCCAGTGCTGTCAATGAGGTACTGCGCAAGTACGAGGAGTTGGAGCGCAGCCTGGCACTTGAGCTGTCACGGCTGGGCTGTCCTCCACCACCAGGCCATGCCACTCACTGTCACTCGCAGTGAGGCCTCATTGGCTCATCCTGAGGACATCAGCGACTCGTCAAATGGCCTTGCTGAGAGCGACATAGGGGAAGATGCTTTGAGGCTGGACACTGGTTCAGACGACACACTGGGCGAGAGCCCCGAGCGCACTTTTTCGGAAGAGGAAGAGACTGCCTTGGTTGGGGATGAACCAACACTGTGCAGCAGCCCATTCTCGTCAAGTGTTCCCGAGACTCCTGAGGCACAGTACCCCAGCTTTGTGGACCTGGATGTGATTGTCGGCAGTGGACTGCTTGAGCCAAGTTCATCCAGTTCCTCCATGCTATCATCTTATAGCAAGAATGGCCACCCACTTGACTGCAATCCCTTCCTGCAGTGATAGCAGTTCAACACATGCTTCAATATGAAACCTTCCCACAGTGCTACCAATGCAAGTTCTCGTTATCGCAGTGAAGAGGATTGCAAGGATCAGGCAAAATGCAAAATACTCTTAGGTGCAGGCAGTACACATAGCATAGCAGATATCTCAAGTTCTCTAGCTCAATACAGTGCCATCAGATGACTTGCTGGTCATATCACTATTGTGTGAGAGGCTGCAGTGCTGTTCCATGTTATTGATACTTTGACATCAATTCCTTCATGGTATTTGTGTGCAATAAGTGAAATCTCTTTGTGTTTCTTTGTTAAAGCGTCAACATCACTGCCTTGTTTACACGCCAGTAATGGTTTGGACCTTTTTCTTAAGGGTGGCATGTTTGCCTTGAGTATTCTGTTGAAGCCCTTAAAAGGATTTCTCAGTGCTGCTTTGAAGCAATTCACTTCAAATTATGCTTATTTTGCATCTTCTTACATTGGACATGCTACAGGGGTCTGGCAAGATTTTTTAGTGTGTCCATTGAATAATTGTTAGCACTATTTTGTAATCTTGTGATCTGGAAAGACGTGTCATTATATATGCTCATGCTTATTGTGATCTGGAAAGACGTGTCATTATATATGCTCATGCTTATCTGACTAAATTGATTTAGACGGCCTTCTAGTGACTTCATCTGACAACATTTTTCCTCCTTGTTTCTTTTTTGAGCTTGTAAATAAGCTTTTCGAGGCCCAGAAAGAAAATAATTTTTTAGTTCGCGGATCACATATGTGTGTGTTTCGTTTACGTGACCCTCATAAATATCGCAGTGCATTTTAAGTTGGGCTTGATATTTCGGAGTTTATTTTCTTTAAATTTAGAGTGTTTTTCTTTTGGGCAAAATGTTTTCATTTATAAAGTTCATTTTTTATAGGTTCTTGATACTCCAAAATTTGGAGTTTAAGTTAAATAATTCTCAATACTGTGATGTCTTAGATAAAATTGTATCTGAACGCAAAAACACCAGGACACTCGAAAGCATGTTATAATTGTTTGGAAGGTTTCAATGCAGAGACCTATATACACGCAAGCACAAATAGTTTAATGCAAAACACCTAGCACTCCCGGGGGACCTATATACATTGACATCCTTTCTTCCGTGCACATCAAGCCCTTTGTTGAATGGGCGATGGGCATGTACTGTGAGATACTGTTGACTTGAGGTAAAGTTTATATCAGACTAACCAGCTGATGTATCGATGACCACTTAGAACATGCCCTTTCAATTAAGAACGGAACAGAAACATATTGGCCGTTGAAATCAGAGTCTATCAGATCAATTAGAAATGTCAGAAATTTTACTGGCGAGTGTTTATTGGATTTTTTCATTTATCCAAAAATACTGAGCCCTAGTTATAAGATGAAGGCATACAAACTAGTAACTCACATAGCAGCTTCATTAGCACTTTATGAATTAAGGATATTTCAACATTATAGTAGGGATTACAAGACATGTGTCAGTGCCACTAATGAAATTCTAACCACATAATGGTAGCACATTGTGATATTATAAAACATTATGGTTTTATTGTACAATCAGCATGTCTGATGCTTCTTTGGATACATCTTAAAGCAATGCTATAACTTCCCAGTGACAGCTTACTCATTGGGCAAACAATACAGATGATGTAAAGGTATGTGTACAAACAAGCTAGAAATCCTTCAAATCTCTCTGCTCATCCACCTTTAATTATTTTATACTTAAGAACCTTCACCAGTCGATTCAGCTATATTTACCTGAATGCAAGGGGTGTTCTTAATTACTGATTTCTAATTGAACTGCCTCCGTTCAGCATCCTCCCCCTTTTTATCTTTTTCCCGTTCGTTCATACACAGCTAAGAAATACCAAGGTATTAAGAAATATCAAGGTATTAGTCTGTTTACCTCATGTTGAACTTTCATGCCATGCTTCTGATTCACACAGATTTACACTTGTCTAGGCTCAATTTTAGGCTTTCTCGCCTGTCTCCTTGGTTGATCATTCATTCATTCATTCATTGCTATTTATTTGGGTAATCTTGCTGCCTATATGCTTGTTCGAGCGGCATTTTTTAGTTCAGTCATCTAATGTTCAGCACTAATTGCATGCTGATGACAATCAACATGCAGCATTCGTCATACACATCAGCAAACTTTGCTTAGGTGTGCATACTCCATAATCCACATCCTGATGGTTGCTCTCTTTTATACCTTGTGCTGTCCTGAATATGGTAGATATGTCAGCCTGGTTGTACTGAGGGATGGTGAAAAATATGTTCACTTTTACTTGTCGTTTATTTAAATTAATCACATGAACAATTGGTCTCATGGTAAAGATAGACAGGGCTCAGGGAATGACTGCAAGAAAAACCTCATTTAGCTGCTAAGTATTGAAACTCTTGCAATCTCACAAATTTATTTGTTTTTTTTTTTTACAAATGGGGAAACACAACGTTTCGCACATTCTTTGGTACTTAGGCACCCTTAAAGGGGTAATTACCATAAGAAATGGTAATAAGGGCTGCAGCGCGAGCACGAAGGTGCTAGAAGAAACAGACGAAAGGCGAGGCACGGAAGGCAAAGAGGACAACACGAGCACTGACTACCAGCTGAATTTTATTATTCGCAGCACACGTGATAACAAATACAACAGGCAACCTTTTAGCAGCAAACGTGAGCAACAAGACATATTCTGGGGAATAGTCTGATAAAAAGAAGGTACAATGATAAAATGGCTAACCCTTATCTAAAAGCGCGAACTCTTTGTCATGCAAGGCCACCGAAGGTTGGCTCACGCATCCGTCACTATGTTTTCTAATAAAATACGCTTCAGCTATTTCACGAGTTAACCTGTCCATGTGGCGTGCCAGCACACTCACGCCCGGAAATCGAGGCTGGCACACGCAGCTTTTGCAGTGCAAAACAAGGTTTGAACTAATTCCTTTGCATATATCATTCATATGTTCTCCTAACCTTTTATTGATGCACCGCCCAGTTTGGCCTATATAACAACGACCGCACGTTAAAGGAAGCATGTAAACAACACCAACTGCGCAATCTGCAAATTTATTTATGTGTTTTACGGCGCATGTCCAACTTTTTTTGGTGATTCCACTAAGTCGCTCATCCGTCATTCTGCAAATCTGCAGGGGCTGATAAAACTTGATGATTTTGCATGGGGCTGATAAAACTACATCTCCACCATATCTCGAGCCTACCTTCTTCAAACCATGAGATATATTGTAGAAGTATGGGATGACTGCAACTCTTTTTCGCTCTTTATTTCCTCCTGCCTTTTCTTGTTTTTGTTTGATTTTTTGCAACAAAGCTTCGCACACTGAAGAAATTACAGATTTTGGAAATCCCGCTGACAGAAGTCTGTTAATTTGCATTGTTACACTATCAGTCATCTTGTGTAGGCATGACTTAGATAAGCCAGCACTAACAGCCGACGAAGCAATAGCTCTCTTGACCAGTTTTGTGTGGCAGGAGGCATAGTTTAACAAGGGTTTAACACTTCGCGGTTGGTATTCCCAGCATACGTGATTTGGAAACAATGTAATATTAATATCTAAGTACCTCAGTGATTCCTGTTGGGGAACTTTGCAAGTGAAGTCTAGCCCACCTCCATGTGTTTTAAAAGCGTGTGTTTTTGAAGCGTATTTTATTAGAAAACATAGTGACGGATGCGTTAGCCAACCTTCGGTGGCCTTGCATGACAAAGAGTTTGCGCTTTTAGATAAGGGTTAGCCATTTTATCATTGTACCTTCTTTTTATCAGACCATTCCCCAGAATATGTCACGTTGCTCACGTTTGCTGCTAAAAGGTTGC